GGCACACTTGGCATTCTTTCAGGACACTCTCAAACTATTCAACAAAATAGAGTAATTAAAACCTCACTTAGCAGTTTGAGAGTTTGAGTTACAAGAACCAGCTAACTGATGAGTAACAACTAACAGATGCAATTGCTGCTGAAGTTGTCTGCATTGCAGATGCTGCTATGAACTTTTCAAAGGCACAGCTAAAGTTTCCATATGATTGTTTCTGATTTTTGGCAAGTTCTTGCCATTTGTGGCCACACCCTTCAGGATATCAGTCACCTGCTAGTTTACAAAATGGTTCAGATATTTGTGTTAAATTCAATTAACAAAGAGTTTTTATAGAATATAGTCTTTCAATTCTTCCAACTCTTATAACTACCTACAAAACCTGAACGATCTATTTGTAACAGAGGTGCACATCTTTAAATAAGCTCAGATAAAATTGTGGTGTTTTCCACAGACAAAAGTAAAAATATCAAACTTCTGAAATATCATTAAAAAGGTACAAGCTTCATATAGTCACCATGAAATCCACCATGGAAGAAATGAAGAATGATTTTTGTCTGGTATGAAAATCTACATCAAATTAACTGACTTTTACTTTAAACCCATTTGGTGAAAGAAAAGACATCGTTAAAACATCCTCCCTCCACCGCTCTCCTTCTCCCTTCTACTTCCCCTCTGGTTACTCCATCACTCAGCTTCCTCTGCATCTTGTACACACACTGTGCCTGGAACACAGAATAAGTCACTGCTTCCAACTCAACCTTACACCTCTCTAATATCGTTCAACAAATACTTATCAAGCATAGTCTGTCAGAGTCAGTGTAGTCAGTGCTCTTTGTAGCACAAAGGATACATCCCTAAACAAAGAAGACAAAAAAAAAAAAAAAGATGAGCAGAAAGTTTAAACCAAATGCTACACATATGTTGAGAGGACTTCTTTTTTTTAAGATTATTTATTTATTTATACAAGCACTGGACACAGTCACAAGTGCGGGAGGGTGAGAGGATTCACCAGAGCCAGAGCGGGGAGCAGAGCAGGCAGAAGGACCGAAGTACACTGCTGAGGGGAGCATCTGGCAGCAGGAGAGGTCTGCGCGCCATGTGGGACCCTCAACCTGTGGCCAGGGATCGAACTGGCGCTGCAGAGGCTGTGGGCAGCTTCGCAGCCCAACGCTCAACCGCTGCGCCACCAGGGGAGGCCCTGTTGGGAAGACTTTTTGAGAAAAATTCAACATTGGAAAAAAGTAATACTACTCTTTAAGATTATAGATAATACCTTAAATTATTATATTAGATCACTGAATCTTCAAGAAGGTGGGTTTGTTTTTAAATTTTACAAACTTTAAAAAATAATGTAGTCAAGTGTTTTTTTTTTTTTTTAATCCTTACAATATGACATTTCTTTTTTTTTTTTTAAAGATTTATTTATTTATTTATACAAGCACTGGGTACAGTCAGAAGCGCGGGAGGGTGAGAGAATTCACCAGAGCCAGAGCGGGGAGCAGAGCAGGCAGAAGGACCGAAGTACACTGCTGAGGGGAGCAGCGGGCGGCAGGAGAGGTCTGCGCGCCATGTGGGACCCTCCTCTGGTGGCAGGGGAGCAGCCGGGGATCGAACAAGCGCCGCAGAGGCTGCGGGCAGCTTCGCAACCCAGCGCTCAACCGCTGCGCCACCAGGGAGGCCCTAGTCAAGTGGTTTTTAACAGTATTTTAATTATAGTTTTAACATGCATTTATTTTCTTTTGATTAAGAATATTTTACTACACTTAAAAAAATCTTTCAGGACCTCCCCAGTGGCGCAGCGGTTGAGTGCTGGGTTGCGAAGCTGCCCGCAACCTCTGCAGCACCGGTTTGATCCCCGGCAGCCATCTAGGGTCCCACATGGCGCGCAGACCTCTCCTGCCGCCTGCTGCTCCCCTCAGCAGTGTCCTTCGGTCCCTCTGCCTGCTCTGCTCCCCGCTCTGGCTCTGGTGAATTCTCTCACCCTCCTGCACTTCTGACTGTACCCAGTGCTTGTATAAATAAATAAATAAATAAATATTTTAAAAAATATCTTTCATATTCCCTTAGGATGAACTGTCAGCTCATATCCTTTGGCCACTGTTTTGTTTTTTCTCATTTTGTGCAAATTAAAAATATTTTCCACAACTTGCTGATTATCTTTTGACTTTGCTTACAGTTTTTTTCTTTATTCTTTCTTTTTTTCTTCATTTGACTTCAAGCAATCGCATTTATTCCTTTCTTCTTTAAGAGTTTCAGAAATTTGTATAAAATTTCCCCTCTAAATTTGTAAAAGAATTCTCCATGATTTCAAAATGTCTAGCCCTATTTTAGTTCCATTGAAATATTTTTATCTTCAATATTTTTTAAATTTACATTGCCCTGAAGTGTGAAGTATAGATTCAACATTTTCTGCTAATTGACTTTTTAATTGTCCCAATATTAACCATTAAATAATCCACCTTTTTCTCACTAACTTGAATGTCATGTAGTTCATTTCTTCTTTGCTTTGTTTTATTACTATATTCCATTGAATATTTTCCATTTCTATGACAGCACCATATTGTTTCATTATTTTAGCATTATAATATTTTTCAATATTATTTCCCCCATCACTGTCTTTGTGTCCCCTTATCCCCTTTCCTCCCCCCCTTACCAGAGCCCTCACATTGTTTACTGATGTCCACTAATTTTTGCATTTTACTTTTCAAATCATTTGTTCTGTACATGTCTAGTATTTGTTTTTATCCTTTTGACTTGCTTTACTACACATAATCCTCTCAAACGCCTTCCATTTTGTTGAAAATGTTTACATTTCATCTTTCCTCATGGCTCAGTAGCATTGATAATGTAAATAAACCACATCTTCACCCAATCACCTTCTGATGGACTTTTAGGCTACTTCCATTTCCTGGCTAGAGTAAATAATGCTGTTATAATGTGGCTTATTGTTGTGGATGGTTTCCTATTCTTTGGATGGATGCTGAAGAGTGGAAGTATTGGGTCATCAGCATTTCCATTTTCAGTCTTTTAAGGTAAATCCAGATTGCTTTTCATAATGATTGCACCAATTTACATTCCCAACAGTGTAATAAGAGTTCTTCTCTCTCTCTATGCTTTTTAGCACTTGTTGGAAGCCTTCAATATGTAACATTCTCATGAATAGTGCTGTGGTTTTAACTTACATTTTTCTTTTTTTAAAAATATTTATTTTATTTATACAAGAACTGGGGTACAGGCCAGAGGTGTGGGGGCTGAGACAGAGCAGGGAACAGAACAGGCAGACTGACGAAATACACTGATGAGGTGAGCAGTGGGCATGACAGGAGAGGTCTGCTCGCCATGTGGGTTGCTCTGAGGCTGGCGGGGATTGAACCGGCACTGCAGAGTTGCTGATAGCTCCACAGTGCTGCGCTCAACCGCCTGCAACACCAGGGAGGCCCCTTAACTTGCATTTTTCTTATTCAAAGTGATGATGAACATTTTTTCATATGTCTATTGACCTTCTAAATACACTTTTTGGTGAATGGTCTGTTCATATCTGCTCCACATGTATTTTTTTTTTTTTTTACTATTGTCACTGAATCATGTGAATTTTTATATTATCTTGGATGTTAACCCCTTATCAGTTACATATTGTGTGAGTTTCTCCCATTCAATAGGGTATCTTTTTAATCATTTTGTATTTTCTTTCACTATCAAAAATCTTTTTAACTTGAGATAATCCCAATCTCTTATTTTTACTTTATTTCCCTTGACATAAGGGTTAAGTCACAAAAAGCATCTTTATTACTGACATCATGGAACATATTACCAGTGTTTTCCTCTGTGTATTTTATTTATTTTCCTATATGTATATATTTTTATTGCAGGTTTTATATCCCAATCTTTAATCCATTTGTAGTTTATTTTTGGGACTTGTGGTTTATTTGTATGGGTTTAGTCAGTAATCCAACTTAATTCTTTTATGTGGGGCTCTCCACACTACTTATTAAAGAGAATTTCTTTTCCCCATCATATGGTCATAGCTGCTTTATCATAGATTAGGTATTGATCTGTACATGGATTTATTTCTGGTCTTACAATTCTATTCCATTGATACATATATCTTTTTTGTGCCAATACTATATTATTTTCAATACTGTTTTCTAAGACTACAATTTGATCATCCACAATCTGTTTTTGAAATTTTGTACCTCTTAATTCTTTCTCTAGTCAAGTTGCATTGGCTAGAATTTCCAAACAATAATAGCTAACATAGTCATAGCACATACATTTGATCTGGTTTCTGACTTTATTGGGGATGTTTTTCTCTTTCAAGCATGATACTTGATTTTAGCTTCAGAGAGATACTTTGTTAAGAAAACATCTGCTTTTACTATGAATCAAGAAAAAAAGTCATTTTTTTAACATGTTCACTTAGTATAAGTCATTATAACTATATTTCTCCTTATATTTCTTGTATGATAAGTTATATAATAGATTTTCTAATATCATATTTATAGAAGTAATCCATTCCTAGAATAATCTCCTTTGAGCAACATAATCTTTTTCTTAACAAGTTGTTGGATTCTTTTCGCTAATGTTTTATTTAGAATTTTTGTAATACTAAACATCAGTGGCTTGGCCTATACTTCCCTTATTAAGTGCATTCCTTGTCAGACTTTGCTCTGAGAACTTTTGGAAATATAGCTATTTAATCAATCCAATATAATTGCAATTTATGTCCATAGATTAAAACATCCAACAGTGTGTTGGTTTTTCACTTTATCTCTTGTTCTGACAGAGCAGGCTTTTCACCAATGATTTTATTGACTAAAATACACACATATGAGAATATACATGACAATTTTTAGTCCTTCCAAATTTTGTGGGGAATACACTTAAAACAATTCATTTGAAAAATAGAATGTCATTCATTTACATATTTTCCTAAATATAATTCTCATTAATTTCTCCATACACTGAGCATTCATAATTTAGGTATTTGTATTATTATCTTTCAGCTATGGAGAAAACTCATGCAGCTGCATTTCTTCTTACCATGAATTCTTCAGAAAAACAAGAGACTGTGTGTATTTTTGGAACTGGAGATTATGGAAGATCCCTGGGACTTAAAATGCTCCAGTGTGGTTATTCTGTTGTTTTTGGAAGTCGAAATCCCCAGATGTCCAGTCTGCTGCCCAGCGGTGCAGAAGTCTTGAGCTATTCAGAAGCAGCCCAGAAATCTGACATCATAATTTTAGCAATCCACAGGGAGCATTATGATTTTCTCACGGAATTAACTAACATTCTCAATGGGAAAATACTAGTCGACATCAGCAACAATCTCAAAATCAATCAGTATCCAGAATCTAATGCAGAGTATCTTGCTCAATTGATGCCAGGAGCCCTCGTGGTTAAAGCTCTAAATACCATCTCGGCTTGGGCCCTCCAGTCGGGAGCACTAGATGCAAGTCGGCAGGTAAGATCCAATGATCAATTTGCAGTCAGTCTCTAAAAGTATGTTTTTAATGCATTTACCTCAAAGATTCCAAAATAAAACAATCTCTAAACACTTGATTCTGCTACTATGTGCCATTGATGATTTTCTAGCATTCAACCAAGTAGGGTAGTTAACCGCTGTGATTTATTCCCCGCCATCTGTACCCTAGGCATTTATTTGATGGTGTCAAGCTATGGAGGCCTCTGGTCAGCACTATAAAATAACAAAGCTAAACTACGTTGATCAATACTTTTTACCACTCTTGCTACCTTGTATGAAACTGGTTCCATTTATTCGCTGAGATTAGAAGCAATCCAAAAGTGATGCAGTACCCACAAATATGGAAGAAAGACCAAACTATTCACACTGAAGAACCAAAACTTATCATATCATTGTGATGTGCCTAAAACCACACTCAACTTAAAATCCTGTACTGAGCTATCCAGCATACGTGGCAAATTTAAAACATCATCTTGTTTCATAGACTCTATATTCTTGTTTAAAAAATAATTTACTATTACATGCCATTGTTCCGCAGTGTTTACAGAGATTTTCAAAAATAATTATGAAAGAAAGAATAAATATAAAATGAATTCTTTTCTGGCAGGTATTTGTTTGTGGAAATGACAGCAAAGCCAAGCAAAGAGTGATGGATATTGTTCGTACTATTGGACTTACTCCATTGGATCAAGGATCACTCATGGCAGCCAATGAAATAGAAAACTACCCCCTGCAACTATTTCCAATGTGGAAATTCCCCTTCTATTTGTCTGCTGTTCTGTGTCTCTTCTTCTTTTTCTACTGTGTCGTAAGAGAAGTAATCTACCCTTATGTTCATAACATGGAAGATAACACATTTCGCATGGCTATTTCCATCCCAAATCGTGTCTTCCCAATAGTAGCACTTACACTGCTTGCCTTGGTTTACGTCCCTGGTGTTATTGCCGCCATTCTGCAACTGTACCGAGGTACAAAATACCGCCGATTCCCAGACTGGCTTGACCACTGGATGCTTTGCAGGAAGCAGCTTGGCTTGTTGGCACTTGGATTTGCTTTCCTTCACGTCCTCTATACACTTGTGATTCCTATTCGTTATTATGTTCGATGGAGGATAAGAAACCTAACAATTACCCAGGTAAATCTCCACTCATTCTAATCTCTTATTCAGTAAATCAAAGCTGACTCTTGCCATATCACACTCTATTTCACAATTATTAAAAAAGTACCTTTTCTTTTTGAAGTACTTGGAAGTAGAAACCTCATGTCTTATTTTTTTAATACCCAGTTGAGATCTCGCACAACTATTGAGAATTAAAGTTAAATTTCTAGGTTCACATGGGTTCAGATTCTGATTCCTAGTATTTACTAGGATGCTGATAGGTGAACAGATCTAGGGGCTCAGGAAACATAATGACATCTACTTGAATGCCTTTAGAGGGTAGATAATAAATATAAACCAATGTGCTTTCAAGCTTCTCGTTTTACACATGCTGCTTCCTCTTGGAAGTGAAAACCAACCATTTTGTAAGGAAGGGGAATGAGCAAACATGCGTCACAGGAATATAAACAAATTCACAAAAGAGTGCTTATAACTCCATTAATGTTTGACTTGTGGGAAGCTGCCCTAGGTAACTAGAAAGTTAAATAATTCTCAACAAATATCAAATACTATTTTCTGCATAGTCAAAAAAATCAGAAATAATTAGCTCTGAAAATCTTAATGCAGTTCCAGATGAAGAGCTATACATCAGTCTTAGTTTGGAAATAACTGATTTTAATCAATCTTACTACAGTCTCAAAGTTCATTGGTCATTAACTTATTGATGGTGCTTCTGTGGATTTTGCTACATTATTTTCCTAACAATACATGGGAGTTTCTTGCATAAGAGTGACACCTCTGATACCTCGTGATCTGTGTTGCAATACACTTGATGCTATACTACAATAAAATAAATGTGAAAAAACCCAAATTATTTGTGTGAATAATCAGCACATAGAGCCAAAAAACAGAATCCTGCTGTAATCGATAAAGAACATCAAGCTTTTATTGAGTAACAGGAAGCCATATGGCATAGGTTTAAGTAAATGTTCAGTTTGATTTAAGATTTATAGGGTTAATTAAAATTCCCTATACAATCATCGGAGTCAACTATTATAATAAAGTCCAAACAAAACCAATTACTTTTTCTACCCTGAAATATATTTTCTAAGTACATTTTTCTTTACAGTTATTTTCAAATTATTACTAAGAAATGTCATACAATTTCCCTGTAGCAAAAAAACGATGCAGAAGTATGTTTCAGAATCCTTAAAATTTGGACATTTTATTAAAAAGATATAATTTTTTAAATTGCTTTTAATTTTTCTTAGGCAACATTTAAGAAAGAAAATCCATTTATTGCCTCTTCTGCTTGGCTCAGTGATTCCTATGTGGCTTTGGGAATCCTTGGATTTTTCCTGTTTGTGCTTTTGGGAATCACTTCCTTGCCATCAGTTAGCAACATGGTCAACTGGAGAGAATTTCGATTTGTTCAGGTAAGGACTTCAAATTTAATCTGCTCTATGTTACAAAATGAGTATGGCTTCACAAATATACTCATTTTTCTCTCAGATCATGCATAAATTTTCATATTGCTCCATCACTTCCCTAGCAATCTTGTAAAAATAGCAACTGAAACAAGTTCAAATTAGAAAATGCTAAACTCTGGTACAAAAAGGCAGATTCCATAAAGATTGGATTTCCTAGCAGCACATCCACTGCCAAGATTCCCAACTACAGCTGGAGCCATAACTAAGAGTAGAGAGTGAAACACACCAACAATGATTAAACTATATGTGGAGAGGTACTAGGTTCAAGGTGAAGAGAAACTTAAAGACAAAAAATTTCTACTTCCAAAAATCAACCTTAGAATATAGACAAACTGATATGTAAAGGCATAGAATGCTTAAAACCTTCCAAGCAAGATAAGCGAGACTGTCATCATACCAGACTCAATGCTACTCTGTAAGAAGAAAATCAGGTTTTCCATATATAAACCACCAGACACCTCAGTAAAGACAACTGCTAACTAGTCTCACAGATAGGCAGTCCTCAAAGTGTGGTACCAGGACCAGCAGCATCAGCATCACCCAGGATCTTGTTAGACCTAAATGTCCAAACCTCACACAGGCCTAACAAATCAGAAACTTGGGAGGTGTGGCCCAGCAATTTGTTTTAACAAGCCCTCCAATGATCCTGATGCCTGCTCATTCTGAAACAGTGTAGAACATTAGTGATTAAAATTAAATTTGAATTTCAAAAGTCTTACCATTTCTCCCAGGGACTGTATGTAGTCACCATTTTTTTTACATGTTAACACCTTTGTTCAAAGCATTAAGACAGGAATAAACATTGAGTTTTAGAGTTTAGGCCAAAGCAAACAAACAAAAGTAAAGTTTGCTGATTGTTCTTTATTGCGATAGAAATTAGCTAGCATCTGCTTTTCATCAATAACATATACTAATGTGCTTCTAGAGGACATTCTGTAACTTAGTCATCTCTGGTCTCCAGGAGAGATGATCAAGGTAAATATTTCTATTTGGGAAGAAGGCAAGGTACATTACTTACTCGTACTCAAAAGAGTTTACTCCTGGGAACTTTCCATCTAGCCAAATTGATGAAATCACTGTGTCATTCCTAAGCATAATCATTTTTTGAAGTGAGTTAATTATCATGATGATGGAGGGTTAATGCTTTCTTTAGTACTTAGTGGAGTAGTGTGTCTCAAGTCTGTGATTATTAACAAGTATCCTTCACTGGTTTAGAATGTTTCATTTTAAGCTATAATTTGTGTTAATGTACATATTTTTGTTTCTTGCTTTTAGTCCAAACTCGGTTATTTGACCCTGGTGTTGTGCACTGCCCACACCCTAATATACGGAGGGAAGCGTTTCCTCAGCCCTACGATTCTCAGATGGTACCTTCCTTCAGCCTATGTATTAGCACTCATCATCCCTTGTACCTTGCTGGTGATCAAGTTCATCCTTATCCTGCCATGCATAGACAGGACCCTCACACGGATCCGCCAGGGCTGGGAAAGGGACTCAAAATTCTCGAAATCAGCACTGAATGGGAAAACAGTTATTTAAAGCAAGATTATTTGCCTGGACTTAAGACCTATAGTATTATAATACTATAGGCTTAGAGAAAAATAATGGGTACAGTTAAGAAAGCATTTTTCTTCCAACATGGCCTGAAGTTTGTAAACAGAGAAGGAAATGTTGCCTGACTTGGAAAAATTTAACAGATTAGAAGAGAGCACCATTTTATCTTTGGCTAGTTATGAATTGGTGCAAGTCTGTTGTCTGTCCTTTTCTCAAGAGGCAGGGGGGTGAGGTCTAGATAAGCTGTGGTTTTAAGTTTCACAATAAGAATCTTTGTTGTGGGTAACATGCATGACCTAATGTCTTGCAAAATTCAGGGGAAATATACACAACTTTCTTCTCTAGTCCAAGGGCTGAGAGGAGTACAAGAGAAAACAGTAAGGTAAAAGTGATGTTAGGTGTGTCTGAAGAAGATGCCAAATGAAGTAAAAGAAATGAGATACTTTTGTTGCTTTTTAGAAATAAAGGTGATTGAAAGTATTGCCATACTGAATTCTATAATTAAATGTGCTCCTTGGTTGTTAACCAATGTGGATATGTACTAGGGGGAATATTTTATGACATAACAAAAAATATCCCAATTGATTGAAAGTAACCATGGGCAGGGTAGATGCAAACTAGACATTTGTCATAGATCCTTCCTTACAAGGATTGGTATAGTAAAGGTTGGGTAAATGTGAAAGGACAAAAGGCTATCTATCCACTTGCATTTTCTCAATGTGCAATAATAAGGAAAAGTGATAACAGCCCTTACACAAAAAGTTCAAATAACCCAAAATTTCACAGATTAAGCTAAATAAACATGTAAAGTTGCCCTGCATTAGGTTTGGTGGTACTTACGTATTGTGGAATGCTTTGTAAATTATACATTCCAAACATTGTTTAAAATTAATCATGTATGAGATGCATCTCTAGTATGTCCAGCTTCTATAATTTGGCATAGTTTATTATAAATTTAAATAGTGAAATTTAATAAAAATGAAAAGTGTAAGAGTGACCAATGCATAGATGAAAAAGAATCATGGGACATCTTAGAGCAGAAAGGTATGAATAGCAATTGTTTTGCAAGATTTGATTCTTTCCCAAATCCTCAATAGGATAAGGATAGTTCTCACTTTTTCTGTGCTGATAGTTCCATTTCCAAAATGGAACAGATTAGCCTGTCTGGATCAAGCCTGAACAAAAAGGAGCCTTACGCACAATCTTCCCACATATGGAGATAACCAAAAGGCTATGGGTTTGACGTTGCTCTACAAAGCCCACTGACTGCCTTTTCTGTATTTTTACTTTTCTCTATTTTTCTATATATTATAACACAGTCTATATATTATATTCTATATATTATATAATATGTTCTATTATATAATATATTCTATATATTATAATCCACAGTCCAGTACCTTTTTTTTAATAAAACCTATTCTCACTTTATATGTAGGTACAACTGACATATATATAACTTTTGAAAAGGGTTTTATCTACACTGTGTATTTACTTTTAAATCCTTCATTTTTTGCTAAAGTTAGTGGTTTTATTCTATAACTTACATAGTATATGTACTTAATTAGTGACTGCATAATATTACATCAGGTGGACATTTACATAACTACTGCCCTGATGAAACATGTAGATTATCTCCATTTTTATTAAAACAAATAACAGTTCAGAATATATCTTTGTACTTATAAACTTCTTCAATATTTTAAATTACTTCCTCAGACTACTTGTCAGAGTTACGACTACAAAATTAAAGAACTTTTCATAGCTTTTGATATAGTATAAAGTTATTTCTAAAATGACCTTATCAATACTATTGGCATTGGGTTAGAGTGCTGGTTTCATCAAAGTCTCGTACATTTTTGTATTCAATTTGTATTTACTGAGAAGATACACAAAACATTTCCTCCATTAATTTATCCTTATTCAACCAAGTAAGGGTATAAAAAAGGCCAGAAGACTTTGAGCAGGAGTGTAGTGTGTGGTACTGGCAGTAAAGCATCTATGGGAAAGAGGGACATGTCAGCTGCATGATTTTATACAAAACAACCAAGTGTTCTGGAGGTGAGGCTGCTCTCTGACTAGAAAACTAGTTCATTTAAAATGCAGTACTATTCAGGTTGTTCTAAAGAAAGCTTTTGGGGTCAACCACACTCCATTTTGGTAAAACTGTGCTATGTATTTACTGGGACACAGTTCATAACTAAAAACAGAAACTCCACTATTAGGTTAAAAAAGCATTACTTAGAATAATAAGAAAGAACTCTGTTTTTGTAACCTAGTAAAAATGAAAGTTAATCAAAGCCAAACAAATCTGAAGTTAGAGAGAGCCCTCTAGTGGTTCTGATATAAGAGTTGCACTGCTACCGTCAGCACCAACCACAAGGGCACAGGCCCCACCAGCTGACCAGGAACAGTCTGTTTCCTGGTTCAGTGCCACCTTCCTCCCTCAAATCATCAAATCAGCATGATCCTATTAACACAGCTGACTCTTCCAGTTTATCTAAAGTATAAAAAAAATTAGTTTGGAACAGATGATAGGTGCTTGAGTGAACGGTACCCCTTTTCATAGGTCTAAACTTCTCAGATAAAAAAAGTGAAATTAGACTTTTTCACTTGTTGGCAAGTTTCCTGTATTCTAGGGAAAAATATTATTAAGCTTACAGGCCTTTTATTTTTGTATGTTTTTTCCTATGCTAAGGGATGATTACTTTTGTAAATGTGTATTCATTAAACATCATTTTTAAAAAAATATTTTCTAGTTTTATTTAATTCTAGTTTGACTCAACATTCTGTAGAAAGTGACTGAGAGGTTCTGAATCAGCTGAAACTAAAAATACTAAAAATGTCAATATCACTTCTCATGAAGGAAATGCAAATTAAAAACCATAATGAGATATCACCTCACTCTAGCAAGAATGATCCTTATTAAAAAAAAAAAAAAGCAACAACAACAAATGTTGGCAGAGTGAGTGTGGGAACCCCAGGGATGTTGTCTTGGTGCCAGAGTTCCTGCTTGTCAGGTAGGTGTGGGGCCTCTCACCAAAGGCAAAAGTCCTGGTATAAGGAACATACCGGGAAACCAGTATCTGCTGAGAACAGCAGGCCGATATTAGAATAGAGATAATATGCTTTGACCAGCAGGAACAATGGAGCCCTGCAGGGAATGGCCCCTGGTCACCCTACCCTAGTTTACATGCCCTATTATGCATCCCCCACACATGTACACTCCCTATGCACTTGCCCCACCTTCGAACTTGATTCCAATAAATAAGAGACTGTCCTTGGATGGGGGCTGCACATTACTTCCAGTGTAGCCCTTCTAGACTTCTTAGTTCTTCACATGGACTTTGAGTAATCTCTCTCATCCTGCACCTCTCCCCACTCTGCAGCCC